CTTCCATCTCTAACTCCAGCAGATTCTCTCGTTTCAGCTTTACTTGTTAAGATAACCACACAAAGGAGCTGAGCTCCTCCAGCTTTCAGGGTCTCATCCAAATCTGCTGAGGCCAAAGGCAGCATTTTCAATGGCTTCAAGGAGCTCTAGATCATGCCTGTATTGCCTCAAAGACTAATTCAATACAGATTTGCAGCACTTGGCAGTTTGTTTTAGCTTAAACCCCTCAGTGTAGGAATATGCTGATGTCCTGCTGCAGCAGTGACTGATGCCTTGAGGAGAATGGGTCATCCATCCATCCATCCATCCATCCATCCATCCATCCATCCATCCATCCATCTATCCATGTGGAAGAGGATTTACAGTGACTTCTGTGAGCCAGAGAGAAGTTAGAGAAGAGGATCCATGTTTACCCCTGAAAGAATTTTCTACCAAGGTCATTGACACAGAAACCAAGAAAGGATAAATAAGAGAAACCTGCAACTGCCTGTTCCAGGGAGCACTTAGTTTGTCTCTCGTGACCAATGAGTGAACTTAAGAGTTTCGTAAGAATGTATAAAAAGCATGCATGCTATAATAAAACCAGGTTTGAAGCCTTCTGAAAATGGAGTGTGTTGCTTTGTATTGTGACCATTTCATCCACCATCCATCCATGGATCCGTCCATCATCCACCATCCCTCATCCATGGATCCATCCATCCATGGATCCATGGATCCATGGATCCATCGATCCATCGATCCATCCATCCATCCATCCATCCATCCATCCCAAGGACAAAGCCGGTGCTGACTCTACCTTGTTTTCACATGCCCTTTTCATCTCCTGAAATTATGTCCTCTTCCTTCTCCCCCTCCTCTGCCAATGCTCCAGCCCAGAACACAAAAGGCAGTCAGAAATATTCCTGAGTCATGTAGGAAACACTCCATCTAAACCAACATCTGGCAGTCTTAAAGTCTGTGTTTTAATGCTTTGGGATACAAAATCATAGGCACAAATTCCCTTGCTGATGAGCCCTCCACTTCCCCACATCCCACCTGCAATAAATGCAAGCTGTCAACATCACACCCTGCAATTTACTCACACTTGCAGTTTATGGAAATATTAAAAATGAAATGCCAAACAGATGTTCAACAGACCTGCTATGATAAGAAAACAAATTAGAAGTTATGAAACTAATGTCTTCTTAAGGGAGGAAATGCAAAGTGCTTGAAATTCAATAAGTAAAAAATGTGGAAATTAAAAGTTGTAACTTTTTAAAAATTGGTCAGAATCACAGGATTCTGCAGGGAAACACCCTTGTCTGACAGCAGGTGGCAGCAGGATTCCCACCACAAATTCCAGATTTGGAATGACATCCCCTGGATCATATTTGAACATTCATCTATGCCCTAAGGTTGTTTGGTGAGTGAGCTGACAGAAATAAACTTGGGCTGAGCACATCTGAATTTTCACAGCTGCAATACACTTAGCTGCCAATGGAAGTTCACAGTGCAGGAGCTGAAAGTATTTGGTATTTAACAATTATTAGTAATATCACTTTTTGCCCATTAGAAGCCCAGAATTTGCATCAAACATTCAAAAGTCTCTGTTGCTGTTACATCGCAGCACTCAGGGTGCATGGGCCTGAGAAACCTGGGAATTTAGAGGTGAAATATTTCCATCAAGTATCACAAAAACATTGGTAGGAATTCCTAGAAAATATATGAAGCTGCATTCTGTAAACCCAGAGCTATTTCAGGAAATCCTTTGGAAAAGGGATGCACAGAGAACTGAGATGTCTCTGATAAAGCATCACGTGCTGGCCAGACTGGCTCCCACTAAAGCCTTATTGAATTTAGGGCTGCTGAGAAAAAGCAGGAAAAAATTATTATTGATGACACAAGGCTTTGAAACATTTAAAGGAAACCCTATTCTTATTTATTCCACAATGTTACCCATGGAGCAAGTCAGACATAACTGAGAGAGCTTCTTATTGATCTGTTAACTGAAATGCAATTAAAGAAAATATGGTTTAAGGTACTGTGGAGGTAGGTTTATTTTATTATTTTCTTTTCATTTTTGTACTTAGCCTGTTTCTTAGGCTTATTCTTCAAAGCTGCTCAAAATAGGGAAGAATTGTAGCATTAATGGGAGCACTAATGGATGGAGCAACAGGAGTTAAAGGATAATAAAGACAGAAAAAGAGAGTTGGCAACCATGCCAGGACATCCAACTGTGGCACAGCTGACCAAAGGTTGCAAGAGACCCCAAATGATGACCCAAAGCCCACTGAGGCCAAGATAATGCCAAGGTTTGAATGAAACCCATGAAGAATAGAAAGTCTGAGGAGCAGAAGGCCAGAGAGAACTGGCCCTCAGCAGCTTTGACAGAAAATATTTGAAATTACTTAAACCTGTGAAGGATTTTATTTTTTTCATAAATATTATTTGCAGGCTTAAATAAAAGAATTCCATCAAGGTAAGAGGCAATTCCCTCCTCTGTCCCCCTGCTTTTAAAGGATGAGATCCAAGTCATGAATATTACAGTGACTTAGAGATTCATTTACACAATTTTACTACTTTGGACAAAACACAGCCACTTTCCAAGCCCGATGAAATATTGTTATCCACATAATTCATTTTGTGCAGCTTCAGCAAGGCGTTTGGATTTGTGTCTGTTCCCATTTGAGGGTAAAATTGAATTGGAAATTCACGTGTGTGCCACGTGGATGAGGCAAGTCTGAGGATCAGGAAAGCATCAATTAAATTCCCCTCCGAGCCCGAAATCCAATCCCAGTGGGGAGGCCTTGGAGAGGGTCCCCATTGCTGTGACAATTGAGGACAATGAGCCAGAGGTGAACACAAGCTCATTTCGAGAGATGACAATGAAATTTAGATCTGTTTTATTAATAGTGTGAGCGCTGATTGCTGTGCGCAGTAATAGGAGGCAGCAGAGGAATTTATGCTTTAGGCTTTGATAACATGGACTTATTAAGGATGTTATTGATTAGAGGGAAATTAGCAACTGGCTGATTAACTCATCCCTCATCTTCCCTTTCCTGTTGCAGCGAAGACCATGGAAGCACTGTCGGGTTGCTTGTTCTCATTTCTGACTCTGCCTTTCAAAGAATTTGGATTTTTTGGATATTTTCAAAAGCTTTTTTTGAACAAGTGTCCAGGTGCACTCATTTTTTCTGGAATGTGCTATCCCACCTACTCCTTACACAAATGCACACTGGAAAGTTGCTGGGAACAATTAGAGAAACTCAAAAGAATCCCACAAGCTGTTCTCATAAAATTGTGAGTGAAACAGGCATCATGAGTGAAACAGGCACCCCAAATTCAAAGTTTCTCATCTATTCCACAAGAATTATTTCATCCCAATTCCAGCACTACCTGTAGCAATACTGATTAAGGAAGCACTTAAGGAAATAATTCAGAACACAACTAAGATGCAGATCTGGAAAATATCAGATTAAATGAGGAGGATGATGTGGGCCTCAGGTTTCCAGCAAAGTTTCCATACACTGGCTGTGACAACAGCTTCATTTGATCTCAGGGTTCATTTTGCCATAAATAAAATACCACAGAGGGATGGGGCTGGTGATGTCCCATCCCTGGAAGTGTCTAAGGCAAGGCTGGATGGGACTGGGAGCGAGTGGGACAGTGGAAGATGTCCCTGACCATGGCAGGGGTGGCACTGGATGGGCTTTAAGGTCCCTCCCAGCCCAAAATTTCTGGGATTCTGTGAAATGATCATGTCCATCCACCCCCTCCCAAATATTTGGAAAGAAAGAGAGGAAGGATGAAGCATGATGAGGACTGGAATCACCATATTCAGGGTTATTCTATTCAGCAAAATACATCTGGAAGCCTAAAAATAGCTTTAAATCACACTCCCTCCCTCTGTGATCCCCAGGCAATTCTTCTGAGAGCCACACCTCTAGGTCAGGAATGGCATTTCTCACCAATTGACCCAGGAACTGCAGGGCAGCTGGCTGAAAATAAAAATGCTTCAAATCAGTCACTCTTGTAGGAGATGCAAAAATTCAAGGATAAGGCTAGCAGCAGCCAGATGGATGAAAAATTACACTTGTAAAAAAAGCAGAACAGGACAACCAAAACCTCCCTGGCAGAGTATTTTTTTGGGTTGTTGTTGTTGGGTAATTCTGACTAATCAAAACAGAAGTACCAGAAATCTGTCAGGATTCACATCTTGTTTAAAAACTGCAAAGAGCCATTTACTAGTGCTGGAACTCAACATTTCAACACATCTGAAGCAGAGCGCTGCAATTTTCCAATCTGAAAATATATTCTTGAGATTTTTACAACACTCTGGGATAATATCAGCTAAAGAGGCAACACTGGGAAAAACATTACAAGTTCATGCATCTTCAGTGGTCTGAAATGAAGGTAGAGCTGGAAGATAATTTGTTCTCCAGGAGGAAAATGGGGTTATTGTAGGGGAAAACCATGCAAAGTTATAGCTTTTCACATCTTCCTGAATAGCCAATTTCCACCCAGCACTTCTCAGGTACAGGATGCAATTCACAGAAAGGAGATGCCCTGAGCAAGAACAAAATATGTTGTCAAAATTCTTTTTTTCTTATTTGCATTAATGCCTTGAGCAAGCAAAGCATCTCTTCATAGAAATATGGAATTCCTGATGTTGGAATGGACTTTAATGATCATCCAATTCCAGCCACCCATGCTGCCCAGCCAACCTGGCCTTGGATGGAGCCAGCCCCTCTTGGACATTCAGATTTCCTGGCATTTGGCTGCATGGCTGGAAAAAGGATAAATATGCTTAAATTCAAGACTATCACGAGAAGGAACAGAGTCACAGGACAACCTCAACAGCACCAACCCAATATCAAAACTTGTTATAAGCATCAAGCTTCTCTGCCTGAAAAAGGGCTGAAATCCTTGCTCTAAAGGACCTTACATAATTCGGAGTTACATCCACAGCTCTACCTATTTTTATCTCAAAGGTGCAGGCTTGTTCTCAGCGAGGAACTTTCTGCAAAATTCTCCATTTGTTGCTTCAACTTGACAATAAATGCTGATTCCTCTCCCCCTCTCAGCACACACAGAGTTAGATAATGTCTGTCACACGCCCTGTTTCCAGCTTCTTTTCCTTTATTTTATTACAAGCACCACAAATTCCAAACACTGAAGTGTTCTCCCCTTCAGATTAACTCTGTACCTGAGCCATGCCCGCTCAGTAGGAAAATCTCAGCTTTCCAGCCCCACAACCCTTGGCAATATAAATCCTGCAGGATCATTTTGAGGTAAGTTAATTACAGACTTGAATTTTAAATGCCTGCTTCATGTTCTTCTCCTTTGAGTCAATAATTCCTGCGGACTGCACATCATCCTGTCACGCAGCCAGGCTGCTGGATAAAAACTCCTGTTTGCTGGAAACCTTTTGGCATTCCCTGCCAGTGGTTTAATACTTGAATATTCCTGTTAATTTGCACATTCTGACATGCAGCAATGGAGATATTTGATCACTCCAGCGGCAGCTCTTGTGTAAAGAGTGTTTTTTGCTCTGCTTTAACATATGCTAATAATGATATCTGTGCTGGCGCTTCCTCGAGAGTTTTTAAGGAAAAAAGTCAGACTCGTCATCAGTTTTTCCACACCTGAGACATGCAGACATAGGCACAGCACTTTTCCAGCTGTATTTACACTCTAGGATCAGGGATGTGTTTTTTAATTTTAATTCCCTCCAGAAATCACGCTGAATTTTGCAATAGGAGAATAAAGATAGAAACACAGTGAATTACCCATATTTAAAGGGCTTGGAAATTTAAGTCTGTACTGTATTGTGGGGAGAAAAACTTGCTGGTTTTCCCCATGATTGCTCCAATTCCTGCTATCTATGTGAAAGCAAAAATATCTTTAAAATATTGCAAAAACTCTGCATAATAGATCCAAAAGGAGGTGCGATTGAAATCAGTATTCACCACAAATTTTAAGATAAAAAAACCTATGCCCTCAAAGGATCTGAGTGCAAAAATTCCCAATTTCATGGTTGCAAGTGTTGACTCCTTATTCTCAGGGCTCCTGCCCTTGCATGCAGTTGGTATTTATTTTGTGAAATAATATTCATAGAAAATAAGAAGTTCTTTCCTTTTTAAACCTTCTTGCAGCACTTCCAGTTTCTCTCCCACCTTTAACACACTTGTAAATAATATATTTAGCAAAAAAAAAAAAAAACAACTCATTTTTAGTGGGGGTGTAGAACAAGGAACTAAACAACAGGAATATTTTCTTTATTTTGTAATTCACAACATGGGCACTCAACCAAGTGATGGAGGAAAAGTTTAATACCTTTCCCGGAAAAACATGGACTCAGATACCATGGAAGGCAAAATGAGCAAATTTTTTGAAGGGCACCAAGCAAATAGGTGGAAATTTACATATTCATTTATGTATATATTTTTATTTTTTAAAAAAGACAACAAAGCCTAGGGAACATGGCTAGATCACCATGGACAATAATACATCAAAAACTGACAGAAGGAAGATAAAA